AAACGGTGGGAAGCAGAGGAAGATCGCCAGAGAGGAAGGGAAAGCAGCGAGCCACCATCTTTTAATAGAAGGTTCCTGTATTTAAGCTTATCATATGTTTTAACGTGGACATCCAGCAGAGTATTTGGCGAACCTAAGGAAAGAAGATGGGAAAGCCAAAGAAAGGAAAGAAGAAGGACGTAGACTGGTGAGTTTTTTTGTCAGTAAATTAAACGAGTCTCGAGTCTGATCATCGTCACGTGTTACGTGTGGAAGAATTATCTTACCAAATAAATTTGATTGCCATCATCCAGTTTTCTTAACGCGATGGTTTATCGTGAGTTAACTAACGCACATTACTTGAATAATTTGTCGTAGAAAAATTCAGACTTTTGAAAACTTTCATAAATTAACTTACATTAATATTATTCACCGTATAAATGACGGTAGTGGTGGGCAATGTTTTGACTGTTCTATGAGGCCCTGTTACAGGATCTGAACAATCGATGAAATCGATAATTTATGGCAATCGATAACAGTGGATGACAATCAATATCAATTAATCAATTGAGATTGATAATCGATGGACAATTGATCACAAAAATTTTTGTGATTATTGATTATCATCGATTATCAATATCAAACGATAATCAATCGCAATTGACCAATTAACATAATAGATTGTTATCAATATGCAATATCAATTGATTACCTATTTAGTCAAACATTTTAATTGTCAATTCATCAAGTACCAATAAAGTTACACATTTTGATATTGAGTAAAAACTATATATATATATAACATATATTGGCAAAAAAAATAATATTTGAAATACAGGCGAATGTCTCTCGCTATGATTCCTGGGAACGAGAATCACTTGTGCCCTGCTTTGTCACTGTTTGCTGTGCTTGTCACCTTTGACGCCCGCCTTGAATAATTCCACACGGAAGATCGAGGTGGATGTGGGCGTCTGCACAGACATATAAAGAAAGAAGAAGAAAAAGAAATAACAATAAGCTTAATTGTGTTTGAACAACAAATGTGTCCCAGGTCAGTTGAATCTTTGCAATGAACTTGAAGCTAAATTGATCAAGTTTGTACTACTGACAATGAGACATGTTAATTGTCTTAATTATTTGTGCTGTTTTTCACGGAGCCACATCGATGAACAATTCTCAAAATTTGCTACTCAGGTTTAAAAATAATATATGATCTGCGTTCACTCCCGGGATACCTGAAGATACAGAGACATGAATTTAGTGCCAATCGATGGTAATCAATGAAGTTTGTGACCACATAATCGATTGATCATTGATTGGCTGATGCCAATTGATGCTAATCAACAGTAATTAATCGATTGTTATCAATTGATCGATTGATTTTCCGATCATCGATTTTCATCGATTGCTCAGGTCCTGCCTGTTAGGGTGAAATTCCGTCAAGCGACATGGCCTTGAAACAGCGACATAGAAATAGACTATCAAATGGCGATAAAGGACACAAAATGGGTTAAAATATCAACAAGAACATGGCCTACTCCTCAAAAAGTGAAATGACTGTATTTGAAATTCAGACAAGGGACATTTGTACCCCTCCCCCCTTTCCCTAAGAGGGTCTCTACTGTTGGGTTCTGTTTGGTTGATTGGTCAACCAGGCCCCATTTGTTTAAATAGCTGGCTGGTGTTATCCACTAACAAGGTCCATAATTGTGACAAGCTGGTTGCCAATGTGACGTACAAAGTATTGATATTACAAGGAGAAGTTTGATGCTAATCACTCTTAAGGCTTAAAGGCTTAAGGCAGGATGTGTACTGCCCTTTTACTCTGTCTATTAGTAATGGTAACAGGACTGAGTGGAGTCCAATGCGGTCTGTACTCATACGTGTGATTAACAAACGCGGGAGTCCGATTTGTTTAATCACAAGTATGATTACAGACCGAATATGGACGACACGAAGTTCTGTTACCAATTAATCATAACTTTAACAAAATTTGTGATATATGAGGCTCTTTTTTTCAATCAAAAGACAATAAATTCGGAGGTTTTTTTGCTAGCAGTGAAAAAAAAAAGCCATTTAAGCGAGCGCGTGATGGCGCGTACTGTCCAATTACTTAGGCATGACGCGTACTGTCCTATTTAACTGTCCTATTAAGGCTGAAATCAGGGCAGTTGATAGCCAATCAGATTTAAGCATTTTGTTATAGTTATGATTTGTGCTGAAATCAGGACAGTAATGATAGCCAATCAGATTTGTTTCAATAACCAAAAGCTCACCACATAAGTTTGGTACTCAATTCACTTTAATCAAATCTAGAACTATTGATGAACAAACTTGATACATATAAAAAGCTTAATGGAAGTTTGGTTGATATTGTAACAGATTCGATTTCAATTCAATTTACTTTCACAGGGAGGATGATGTGTTGAATGACCTTGAATCACTAAAAGATGGTGAACCAGATAAAAAGGAAAATACTGCTAGTAAAGTTAAGGTGATATATTCATTTATTACACATTGTACTCACTATCTATCTTCTCATTGGCTAGTAACCTACAGTTAATTTTGGCAATAAGTGCAACCTTTAGGAAGATAACTTGACTAATCTGCAGGTTGCGTGCGCAATACATGATTTCCAAGAGCAATGTAAAACTACAGATGTATGTTCACCTGACAGTGTGTTTTTCAAAACAATGTATGATAAAACAATATTATTATATTTGCTCTTTGTGATAATTATCTGGAATAACCAAGAGAAGTCTCTTGATTATTTCAAATATCACAAAATTAGCTTCGTCTCATAATTGTTGAGTAATTTGCTACTCTGGTACCCTGCTATTTTGTCATTAAATTATAATACAGGACCCTTTTTACAAACACTGGCTGAAAAAGGCCTAGGAAAGAATAAGTGATCTTTGCTAGAAACTGGTAATACACTGTATGGATGTTACAATAGTACCAGTTATTAAGAATGTGATATGAAGCTGGCGGTGATTAAATTGCATGATGGCCTTTTGTGACACTTCACCACAGATCTCATTTGTTTTGTTGAGTGTTTGGTCTTTTATGTTGTACTTTTTGCTTGAATACAGGAAAACAAACCATCTGGTGGAAGATTTCAGGGTCTAAATATAGAAGATGATGGTCCTGCTGAAGATGGTGATGATGAAGATTTAACAGAAATGGTAACAAGCTCACAAAAGAGCAAAAAACAAAAGAAAAAGAAAGATGTTGAAGCCACAAAAGAAACTGTTGAAACTGAGAGTCTTGCCACTGGCAATGTTGGTGACTTACAAACTGTAGATAATGTTGTAGAAGAAAATGGAAGTGGAGTTACAGAAGAGCCAAGTGTGACAACTTCTAAAAAATCTAAAAAGAAAAAAAAGGACAAGAAAGATTTTGATTTTGATTTGGAGGTTGATTCTGAGGATGAAAAAGTGAAACCTGTGAAAAAAACTGATGATGCTGCAAAGAAACCTGAAGAGGTCACAGTGACTGATGAAGGGACAGCAGGAGTTAAAACTGCTGCACAAAAGCGAGCAGAAAAAAAGGAAAGAGAGAAAAAGAAAAAAGAAGCTGAAAAAGCAAAAGCAAAAACCAAAGTGAAGAAAGATGAAAGCAAGCCAACTACCAGTGCGGATGATAAGACCGAAGAGGGAAAAGTCGAGGTTGAATCATCTGCTGATAAAGACGCTGAAGTTGCTGTGACGTTGAAATTGTCAGGTACGGTACAGTCAGTGCTTTACAGTGTGTGTACCCAGCATATAGGCAAATCTCTGCTGACATCATCGCGTACATTTTTGTTCATTAGCATACGAGTTAGCCCATAGAAGGTATCACTGTATATACAAATTAACTTCAAAAGTTGAAAGGGGTGGTTAATTTGAGCAATTTGTGGACTTTTTTAGCTCTTTGATAGCAATAGCAAAGGAAATTTATAGCAGCAGTTGAAAACTGTGTTCAAAATTGCTGGGTGGCAAAAACGTTAATGAGGCCATACATTCTCTGTAAAGTTTTGAGTTTTTCAAAGATAATTATGTCTCCAAAACTATTCAGTATATTGTTGGGCTCAATTTTTCACAGATAACTGAAATTGTTATGCCCTTTTGATATTCAGAGGGTTTATTTTAATAGCTTGATCAGGGAGTGAAAAGCATACAATGTACAATGCTAATGAAGCAAAAAATGTTAACAAAGATTTGCCTATTGGTAGCACATGCTGTAGCATGAATGCACAGTTTTCCCAGTTTTAGCAGAAATCCCATGCCATTCTGTTTTCTACATTTGTATATTTAATCCCCTTTGGAAATTTTGATCTAATGTATAGGTGTTACACATTTCTACCTGGTGTAAACGTTTTTAAATTTTCTTGCTGGCTGAGCTTGCGAAAGGGGAAAGAGTGGATGAAAGTGGATTGATTTTATATCCTTACTGTCAAAATGAAGCTAGAAATGTCACGGATGATCGTTGAAGAAGAGATCTTAATTTTTCTTGGAGGTGTAAGAATTATTATTTCTGTCATATTTTATTTTTTATGTCACATGTATTGACTGTTTTGTTAAACAAAAAATTGTGTTCTTTTAAGGAGATGTAGGGGATGGTGGTGCTGAGAAGGCAGATGAGCTTGGTGACAAAGGAGATGAGCATGAGGGAGGGGAGGGAGGGGAAGGAGCAGAGGAGGGTGAAGACAAGGAAAAAAAGAAAAAGAAAAAGAAGAAAAAAGGAGAAAAGGAAGAGAAGAAAACAAAGAAACCAAACAAAGCCATAGTGAAAGAGATGCAACAACGCCTGGAGCAACTGAGACTGGAGGAAGAGCGTCGTAAACAGGAAGAAGAAGAGAAACAGAGAGCTTTGGAGGAAGCAGAGAACAGGAGACTAGAAAAGGTTTTTATCATTTTTATGCCACTATGTGTAAGCAGTAGATGTAAGGGGGAAAACTGGTTCGCTGGGGTGCTCTGTAACGTTTTCCATAACGGCTGCCTCTGGCTCATTTTTGAACTTAACACAACATGCTCACAAAGGCAGCAGATGTACATAGCTTATCGACCTTACCTTGGTGTAATTTATGTATTTTAGAGCATGCCTTGCTCAGCTGTACATGAACATGTGGATTACCTTATTCTCCTTTATTTTCGTGGGACTTAAATTTCGCGAAAATTTTCTCGGCACATTTCGCGAGTCTTTAATTTCGCGATCGCGGAGAAAAATTGTGTTTGCAGGGAATTTAATTTCGCGAAATTGACGATTAAGTGACTTTATTTTTTCTTTTTTACAAAAATTTTACGTTAATCAACAATAATTGAAACAAAACCAATATGCTGTCCCTGTTGAGGTGATATGTGAAATGGACAATACACCAAGGAACAGGGCAATAATGGAAAGATACAAGACACTCGTAACTACACACTACAAGGACCCGGGACAGGATGGTCAATTTGACGACTGTACAAAGGATGTATTGGAGGAACTGTGCAAAGATGATTACTCAGACGCTGAAGAAGAACTTGAGGCGAATCTTGACACTGATTAACATCTAAAGTTGATAGATGACAGCTCTTTGTACTAACACCTTGTGTTAAAAATTGTTTAGGACCCTTAAAAACACAAATACATGATTTTTCTATGTCCATTAAATTTTGCAAGATCAAAGTTCACGGTCGTTATTTTTCGCGGATCTTTAAGTTTGCGAATTTTTAAAATCGCGAAAATCGCGAATTTAAGAACCCGCAAAAATTAAGGAGAATAAGGTGTTATGCTTGTGTCAAGCACTGAATTTTCCAGTAAAGAGCATAAAATTAAGATCGATGTTGATAAATAATTTTGTATTTTTTTATTGTTTCAGTTGAGACTTGAGCAAGAAAGGAAAGAAAGGAAAAAGCAGAAAGAAAAGGTATATAATTATGTTACAGTTCAGATTTGATTTCAGGTTATAAATTGTGATTTAACCTGGGATGATTCTCGATTTCCTTTGTCTCCGATCCCTAGAAGACAAATGAAGTGCAGAATCAACCTTGGTTAAAACATTTTTTATTAACTTACTGTAGAATGGCAACACCTACAAACCAAACAGTGGTACTGTTAAGACACAACATCAAGGTGTAATAATTTCAGTTGTTAGTTAGGCTCTAGACCACAGTCGAACCAGCCTCTTTTAGCAGCCACTTCTATACAATGCCCTGATCCTCCCCCCTTACGACAGGCATGTTTTTCTGTCAGTTTAAATGTCAGATATAGGTTTGCTGTCTCTGTTGCAGGAAAGAATAGCAAAGCTAAAGAAAGAAGGGAAATTTCTCACAAAGGCACAGAGGCAACAACAAGCCAAAGCCCAGGCTATGCTGGATTCTATGAAAAAGCAAGGTGTGTATGTACTTAGCTTACCAAGCCAATTTAATTTGAAAACCCTATTTGCACAGCAATCTAAGGATATGTACACCTGTAAGCATTTGTTAACTGTTTAATGAGGCCCTCTTGGGGGCGGTACGTATGTCCCTAGTCTGTATTTCAAATAATTATAGTCGTTTCGTGTTTTGAGTAGGCCATGTCCCTCTTGGTAATTAACTCATCTTTATGTCGTTTGTTGCCATTTCATCCAGTTTATGTCACTGCTTCAAGGCCATGTTGCTTGTTGGAATTTTACGCTAGCAGGGCCTCATATTTATAAATTGGTTCTTCGCATAAGCTGAAAAATTAATATGCTTTTGCTGTGAAGGGTTACCCGTAAATTACTTCTTTACAGCTACAGTGTAGGTGTCCTCACAATCAGTGGATAGAAATCACAGTTACCCCTCTCATATAGACCTGTCTACTCTTTACATTTACTTGGATTGCAAGAAATTCTATTTGTTTCTGTCCAGACTAAAAAACTGTGACACCAACTGACCCAACTGACCAGAGCAGTCTCCCTCCTTCCATACATGAGCAATAATTGTTAAAAAAGTAATTGGTGTACTTAAATAGCATGGCATGGTTACCTAGAGTAATGTTTAGTTCATTTAGAAAGATGTTAAAAAGGTAAGGACCACTAATGCTAACTTGATTTTCCCTTTATGATTATTATTATTGTTATTGTTATTAGCAAAGACAGGATATTTGTTAGATATTCAGTCTTCCTTGATGACACAGTGCAAAGTTTTTATTAACACTGAGCCATATTATTTCTGTAAAGGCCTGATTGACATTCCTGCATTAAATCAGCAAGAGCAAGATGGAGTCAGAAGACCTGTACGCTATGGCACCAAAAAACCCAAGAAACAACAACAACAACAGCAGCAACAAGACCAAGAGGAAACAGCTGGAACAACTGAAGATCTTGGTGAATAAAACTGCATTTCTATGTAGCTGGACATATGTCATTTTTTAGAAAGAAAAATTATTTTTGGTTTTCTGTTGGTGATCATGCATTCACCTTTTTATAGGCGAATTTTTGTTGGCATTTTTTGCCTCATTAGCATATGCCTTTCATTCCCTGATCAAGCTTTTAAAAAAGAATTTCTCTGATATCGAAAGAGCATGGCAGTTTCAGTTATCTGTGAAATTTGAGGCCGATATACAAAAAAGTTTTGAGAAATTATCTTTGAAAAGGTTGAAACTTTACAAAGAATGTATGGGCTCATTAATGTTTTTGTCACCCGGCAATTTCCAGTTTTCAGTGGCTGCTGTTTCTTTTGCTATTGCTTGCAAAAAGCTGAAAAGTGCACAAATCACTCAAATTAAACAACTCTTTCAACTTTTTAATTTAATTTGTGCATATGGTTACACCTTCTATGGGGTAACTCTTATGCTAAATTATGAGCAAAAATGTAAACAATGATGTCAGCAAAGATTCGCCTATTACATAAAAACCTGTACATACCACATGTACTTATACTGTGCTTCATTATTGTTTAGTTTTTTTCAGTGGTGTTTACCTCTGCATTTCTATTTTAATTGTTGTAGCACTTTTATTCTAAATAACACTTGTCTTCACCTTCCTTTTTTAAGAAACAACCACCGAAGATGAAGTGATTGCCAAAGAGAATGAAGACAAGAAGACCGATGGTAAACAAATTTTGTCATTTCTTTTCTCTTTGTATTTGGCATTTGTTGTAGTTGTGATGCATGTTAAGTTTTTAACAAGCTTACCTCCTTGTAGACTCTATCAAAACATTGGGCTTTTTGTTGGCACAGTTTCAGAATAATTTATAAGCAGATGCTTTATCTTGCAGTTACTCCTCTAAAAGTAGATAACACCCATTGAGCAATATGTTTTGCATGTTCCTGTATTTCTTTCATTCAGTTTTAGTGGATAGCAGTGAATGCCATTGTTCTTAGTTCTCTCAGGTATAAACAGCTACACTGCTGTGCCTGAAAATGAGGTTGATGGAAGGTATGTTTGCCTGTAAATGAGGCTGCTTGGCAATGTGCCACTGAATCAATGCTATATTGCTCGCATTTTCCAAAATTGGTCAAGGCCAACTGCTTATGAAGAGTAAGCCAGGGTATTTTAACCAATCAGAAACTGCAAATGTTTTGAATGAATAATAAGAAGTTTTGATTGTGTCTTTGTTTATCACAGATCAACAAGATGTCAATGATGCTGATGCTGATGAACAGGGAGATAAAGCAGAGGAGGAGGAGGAGGAAGAGGAAGAGGAGGAAGAGGTAATAATCTGTTTTCATTTTATTACTACAACAGTTTCTGTGGCTGATTGCTGATTAAAAGAAGACACGTTATTGAAGTGGCAGATTCAGATCTTCAAGTGGAGGGGAGGGGGTGGGTGCTTGTCTAGATGCCCTAAGAAAAGAGCAGGGAGGGAAGGGTGGCTTCACAATTTACTCTTGACTTCTTAGCCCTGCGATGGGGGGAGGGGGAACTACATCCTAGTAATAGGCTAACGTGAATGTGCCGCTGGATGGGTCGCATTTTTACAACTGGATTGACTATAATGGGGTTACATTTTCAATGGAGTTACTAGAATGGGGTCGCACATTTTCAGGATGGGGCTCGGAAAATTCGGGTAGGTAGGGTTTAGAATGGGAAGATTTTTGCTACATTAAGTTTAACAAATGTGACTAAGTTGGGATAGTGAAAATTACATTTTCCCAAAAGTGGCCAAGATGTTGTCTATAATTGGCTACACAATAGACTATAATGGGGTAGGGGTTCTGAGAGGCTAGCGGCACATACCCATCAAGAATTAGCCCAAGTACCCCCCTCTCTCGGAGGCCCCTTCACCCACGTCTACATGAAGTTGGAAATTTTGTGTGCAAACGTCATCAATGAGAATGCTCTCTTGTTAGGTTAAGGACTCTTGGGATGTGGATTCTGATGATGAACCTGAGACTCGATCACAAGGTCTGCTGTGTTATTAGTTAAAAATGTAAAAATGTTATTGCTGGTTTGTTTATCAGGGGCAGATCTAGGAATTCAAGCCAGTGGTAGGGAAAGTTGTACGGGTTGAAACCAATTCTCAAGGTTGAAACTGTGTTTTGTACGTAATAATTCTCAGCTTTCAGTAACTACAGAATACCCTGCCACTTCGAAGCTGTATCCCTGAAAGAGCTGGTTATGTGGATACACAATTATCGCTTTTATGTGCCATTCTACCTTCAGTGGCTTTAAGAATGACAAAATAGACATACTGTACTGGCTTTATATGCTGTCTTAAGTGTATATCGAAGTGGATATGCGGATACATGTACGCAGTGATTATTATTTAAAAGATTTTTACTAAGCGGATAGGCAGATACATGGATACGTAGTGACAAAGTGGATACACGAATATGTAGTGACTGAGCATCTGCTTATCCACCTATCCGTTAGGGGTTGCTTTAAAGTGGCAGGGTAATCTGCAGTTAAGCCCACCTTTCCCTGTCCTTATTTTCTTGTAGACCTTGTTGAAAGCAAACTTAAACAAAAGGGCTAAGGTTAAGAGGCTAAATAATGCACTAGTTTCGGATTTTTCATACCAGTGCCCTGTCATTTCAAAGGACAATTTTTGCTTACTTTCGTGACAGCTTCCTTGGCTAAAATTACATCTAACTCTATTTCAACTGTCAATGGATAATAATCTCGCTTTTGAGCCAAAACACCCCGTTACTGAAGCGTGCAATGAATCGGTTGTGTGTAAGTGTTACAGGTAAATACAGTGTAAACCCCTTACTTGTCTCTCAATCTGTTGCAGATATTAAAGCACCAGATACTGTCAAGGTACAGTAATAATTGATACAAAGTTGCACTGTAATTTCAGTTATTTCTAGTGTACATTTATTTGGCACATTATCTTTTGTTACAAGGGTAAATTTTTCTCTTGCTAATATCCCCACCCCACTTCACCCCCCCCCCCCCCACCTTTCAGCTTGTAAAATCTTATATCTCAAATAATTTACACTTTAAGAGTCTTCAAGAGTTATCTGTTGTCCAAAATGTATTTTGTTTCTGACTTAAGTAGCTGTCTCACGTTTTATTACTTTAACTGGAACATGAATCTGTTATTTCTTCATTAGTAACATGCCCCTCTCGACTTTCTGCTCTCCCTTCTCAAGCTAAACAAATTGTAATTGTGACTTAATCCTCGTTTTCCCATTACTCTACAGGCCATTTGCACGATTGCGTTATTTTGCTACTACTGCTACTACCAGAATCCTTCAGGGTTTTGTTTTCTTTTGAAAATTAGGGCCCCGTTCCTGAAAGGCCAATTAATGTTAATCCAGGATTAAATTTTTTCCCGTTCTTGTATTTTACATTCCTATGCATTGCCTAGGGTAACATTTTGTGTTATCATTACTGTATCTCGTAGTAAAGGCTCAACAGTATTTTGTACCCTCGAGTTGTTCTTAGACGAGAAAACTGTGCTTAAAATTTGGCTTAATCCTGGGTTAAACTTAACCATCTTTCAAGGAACCGGGCGTAGGGCGTTTGTTATTTAAACCTCACTGGGATTACCAAATTTAAATATGAAAGGAAGAACGAAATGAATTATGGTCTTAGTAGTAAAAACACGTCATCGTGCAAATGGCCTTTTTGCTTTTTGATAATTATGGTTTGAAATTTGGTTACTCTAACTGTGCAAGTCAAAAACCATGAACACCTTGATTTAATTTCGAAAAGTCGATTGTGTTTTGACCAATCATAGTAAAGTTTAGGACACGCAAGTAAACCTCAAAACTGCAAATTAATAGACCAATTCCGATATATTAAAACTCATACTTGGCTCCGAAATCGTCTCGAGGCTCAGTAATAAGTAATACATTTCTTTCGTTTTATTCCCCCAAGCCTCGGAGCCAAGAATGAATTTTAATATAATTTATCGAAATGCTGTTTGCAGTTTAGTTTTCTCATGCCTGATTTTTGTCCTGGAACACAGCAGCTTTCCAGTTCGGTTCAATTCAGTTTTATTTAACACAAAAACAAAGGAAAAGAATACAGGATTACACAGACGCAAATAAATGTGGTGAGGAAGCCCAAAAAGAAACCATAAGGCTTATGAATGTTGGGCTCCCTCAGAGTATAAAAGTGTAAGTTTTCAAGGCAAGGATAGTAGCATTTACTGAGTAATAATATTAAATGACAATGATGAAGGTTATTTTCTGTTGTTTTCTGAGTTTCAAAGAATACTTTCTTCTGAAGGTGGAAGTCAAAGAACTGGCAGAAGGTAAAGCGGAAAGCGAAGGAGAGTCAGAAGAAAGTGATGAGAGCGAGGAGGAAAGCGAATCAGAAGACGAAGAAGATGAAGATGAGGAGGAAGGAAGTGAAAGTGAGGAGGAATCTGAAGAGGAAGACAAAAAGACAGAAACAGTTTACGAAAGAATACAGGTACTATAAAACTCAGTATGGATTTCAATGAGCTGGTGAACTTTGCTTTGCAGTTAGCCACATGGGAAGCAAAATGTGGCTGACGTAAATTTGCTCCCTTGGGACAAGAAAGAATATGTTATTGAATCCAGGGCTCTGCCTTATTTTGGGTGTCCTCAATCGCATTATTATTATTATTATTATGGTTAGCATAGTGAGGACTGATTAAAGAAATACATCGACAACTATTTTAAAGGATTCAGACCAAGGCTCTATTATGGGAGAAAATGCGGAAAGCTCAGTCAAGCCTTTTTGATGGGTCACTATTTGACTTCAACTACCGGAATTCATTTTGTTTCTGCTTTCTTCGGCATTAAATTTGCCAATCTCGCTGAGGTTAAAAACAATAGCCCTAATTTGCCGAAGAAAGCAACAAGCTGAAGGATTCTGGTAGTTATAGTAAAATGACGTCCGCAGAGGCACGAACTGTGTGAAACTGGGGAAGGGAATGGTCTTTAAATCTTGGGGATCAAGTAAATTTTCCGTTAACTGGCTTAAAATATTTCATGTTTTTCAGAAAAGACGAGTACGAGCAGAAGCTAATCGATCCACGGACAATCTGAGATCTCCAGTCATCTGTGTACTGGGACACGTGGATACTGGAAAAACAAAGATTTTAGATAAGGTATCTCTTATGTGATCCAGTTTCGACTTCGTAAGTAGTTCATTGAAGCCCACTGAATCAAAACGCTAACGAATTACTCATGCTGTCGCGGTGAATGCGAAAATAGGGTCGGAGACAAAAAGAAATTTAAGACTGTGGGAGAGATTTTTGCCACTGTACCCTGCGTTGTCGTGGTTTCTTTGTCTTTTTGTTTACTCGTTAATCAGCCTTAGGCTGACTTATCCGTGATACTGAGCGAGAATTGCCTCCGAAAAAAAGAAAATGTTTGCCGCCAGCTATTGCGACGGAAAGCACAAGGTATTTCATGCATTGTGAAATTCTCCTTCCTCATGTAAGGAGCAATATCATCGTGATTTCCTCATTGTTCGTCCAAACTGAGCTGAAATTCTTGGAGAAAAATAGTCCTCGGAAAGAGGGCCACCCTCCCAGCCAATTCAACTCTACGAGTGTTTATATGAGAAATAAAAATTGTCCGATTTGCCCGAGCCAAGAGCTGACAACAGGGCTCGCGCATGCACTGTCTCGCGTGGACCTAGTCAACCCGGCCGGGCAAGCCAAAGTGTTTATGTGGAGAATAGTAGCCCTGGGTAGGAGGTTGACCCTATCATCGAAAGGGGGTGTCCCGGCGAGGCCGGTCAGCCTTCGAGCTGAGCCAACTCGTTGTTTCTCTTGTAAACGGTTCGCCAAGTTTTGTAAGGAAATGCAGGAAAAGTTGGATCCCCCAGGGTAGCTTGGATAGGCGAGTGACCCTTCCACTCGGGACAAGTTTTCCGGTTCCATATTAACGGGGGCCTTAGCTGAATCGCTCTAACCGGCACTAATCGTCGTGTTGCAGATCCGTCACAGTCACGTGCAAGATGGGGAGGCTGGTGGTATCACACAGCAGATCGGAGCTACTATGGTGCCTGTGGACGCCATAAGAGAACAGACCAAGATGATCAAGGATGTAAGCTCCAGATAAACCTTTTATATTTTCGAATTTACACGTAAATGAGAAGAGCTAAAACTATGATTGGGTTTTCAGGAAGCAGCGAATAATGACAATTCTGCTCCTTTTTTAACTCTCCTTCTATCTCAATTTCTCCGATGAATGTCACTATGTCAGCAGACAACATTTTCTAAAACGAAGTTTTCAAAACAAGCAGATACACCCTCACTCTGTATTTTGTTATACCTATTTCAGTTTCAAGATTTTGACATCAAGCTTCCTGGTCTACTTATCATCGATACTCCTGGACACGAATCTTTCAGGTCAGTAATTGAGTAACTCAGCGTAGTTAGGTGGACCATTACCTTAGTTCAATTCATTGCCATACTTTAGCGTGGACTGTTGACTTTATAGAGACTATGTGACAAGGATGTTTTTGCTCCTTTAGAGTTGTGAAGAAGATATTAAACAAATTTCATCAGAGAGCACTGACCATAGCATTTTTTGGTGACTTTTCCAGGCATAGAATTAACCCTTTAACCCCCATAACCACATACAAATTCTCTAAACTGATCTCCATAGATTTCCTTACAGAATTAGTTGAGAGAATTTGATAAAAGATCAAAGCATTTTCCCTTAGGTGATCATTTCACTAATTCTCCTAACCTTTTGTCTTGATTATGTATTGATATTGTGAGGAGAATATTGATATTGGTCAGTCACTCTTAGGAATTAAAGTTTTAAAACTTGAATAAGTTAGCCCAACTTTTTCTCAAGTTTCCATCTAAGTCCATCCTTGCCATCCCTAATAACAGACGAAAGGAAACAGTTTTAAAGCCTAAATATAGTCTTAAATAACAAAACTAGACCATTAGATTTCGGATTCAATTGATGCGAAGACACCTTTAAGCTTTTCTAACAGGTAGCAGATAACGTGACATAACCCTTTAAGTAACTGACTGTGCGTGTTGTGTCTTTCAGTAACCTCCGTTCCCGAGGCTCATCCTTGTGTGATATGGCAGTCTTAGTGGTCGATATTATGCATGGATTAGAGCCACAAACCATCGAATCTATTAATCTACTGAAGAAGAAAAAGACGCCTTTTATAGTGGCACTGAATAAGGTTTGCTTCATTTTTCTTCCCTTTTGTAACCATCAAGTGGCCGTTTTCTCGAAGTTAGTCTATCTTTTATATTTTAGTAAGGAAAACGACCCCAAAAAAGTACTTTGCAGTCACTTCGTTGACCTGTTTTCGCCACTTTAAAGGCAAGAAGGGAACTGGAACCGAAATGTGCACCGCAATTGTTTCTGGGATCGTTACTGGGGACGCGCAGGTCAGCTATAAAGAGGAGCAGTGTGACGTCACGTTACCATGGTAGCAAAACTCCTGGAAAAAAATTTCTCAAAATTTCTCCTCTCTATGGGTCAATTTTTTCCCTCTTCCTGGTAACAGTCCAAAAAGTCTCTGCAAAAGTTAACTTGGCCCGGTCTCCTCGTTTGTAAAGTGGCGAATGAAACATGCCATGAAATGTCACGCACGAATTGGAATCTTTCTCGTTTTTTATTAATCTGCGATTATACTGCTAGTTTTCAAGCAGCATTTCTCGGTAATGTACTCTTTTTAAGAGCAGTCCCTTAGGTATCCGTGCACCCTTGATTCTTACCCCAACCTCAGATACAAGCTACCACGTCCGCCCCGACATTTATGTGCCTCTGGCTTCTGGATTTAATTTACACTGTGCTGGTTTTAAAGGTGGACAGGTTGTTCGAGTGGAAGCGAGGCCCCAATTCAGGTATTATGGATACTGTTAAGAAGCAAAAGCGGAACACAAAGCAAGAATTCGATGAACGAGTTCAAGTAGTTTTGAAAGAGTTTTCTGAACAGGTGAGTGAATATGCAACTTCCTGTATGGGCGATTGTGTCCGGTCAAACCTCTCGGTCGTTCGGGGCCCGTACAGAAACTAAGGGAGTTTAAAATGGTATTTGTCAGGTCTGAAAAGTAGGAGAATTTGAGTGTGAATCATAGAAAGTCCCGAAAATAAATGTTCCTGTAGCACAGTCACTAATACAGCGTTCTGTTTGAGCCACGAAGTCAGTAGACTGGTCATAGAAAACATGAAAAAGACCATAGAAAAGGCCATATGAAAGAAGAAAAGAGCGACCGCAATTTCTTGGGGTTTTATTTGTCTTGTAAAACAATAATTCCTTTCGTATTTCCGCCACCTTGCTTTGTTTCTCTCCTTTGATTTATATCCGGTGATTTTACTGAAGAAGAGGAAATCGGACTGAAGGGTCCAAGAAGGGACAATCGCCTTAAAACTGTTTTAAATCGCCTTCTAACTACAGTCGAACTACTGTCACCAATAAATAAGGTTTGTTTTTCCCCAGGCGCTGAACGCAGCATTGTTCTACAATAATCCAGACCCAAGGACTTACGTGTCTTTAGTCCCCACCTCTGCTCATACAGGAGACGGAATGGGAGATCTCATATCTCAAGTCGTAAGGCTGACGCAAACAAAACTGGCTCAGAGACTGTCATTTTCTGAAGAACTGGAGAGCATGGTGCTAGAGGTGAGAACTTAAGTTGGTTTAATTCGACACCTTTTGATTCTAAGACGAGAAAGACTACGACGACGAGAATTTCTCAATACTAAGTAGTTCGCACGCGTGAACCAGCGTCATTTTGGCGGGAAAAAGTGGTAGCCGTCGTCATTCTACTACGAGTTTTAACGAGAATGTCGTAGTGGGGAAAACAAGTTATCAAATGTTAGAAGTTTTATCATTTTGCAATCGGGAGAGGGCTTACCGTCCTTCAATAAAGTTAACAGTGCTAACGTTTCTGGTGAATCAAAAGTACAGTGGAGCTTTCCGGGGTGTCCTTTCGTTCTCGTCCTTGAATTAAAAAGTCTCTATTCAGTGTCTCTCCATATCATGTTGAGTCACGACAAATTTGGTAGGAAACATCCCTGTAAGGAGTGAGTTTCCAACCCAACCCGCCGCAAAATCGTTGGGCGATTACCATCTGTCAGAACTGGCCTGGATAGTCTGCAGATCAATATAAGTCGTAAACAGAATTTTAAGTTCATTCAGTACTGTTAGCCTGTTAGTGTAACCTCTTGCAAAAAGCCTACTGTCAACTTCTCTCTTAACGGACATCTCTCCAAGACGGACACGTGGTGTTGGTCCCTGCCGTTTTTCAGCCATTTTTCTGCAAATATACTCTCTTTTAGACGGAAACTTCTCAAATACGGACAACAGACACTTTTGAAACAGTTAACGGACAACTGGGAAGTGCTTCATGTAGCAAAAAATACCTTAATTAAAATTCCGTGATTCTAGAGTTCTGATTGGCTTAGCCAACATGGTATACTAGCCAATATATATTTTTTATTTTGGTGAGTAAACTGAAATCACTTCTATAACCGCGGTTTACGGTTTTTTCTTTGTTGTTTGCATCTTAACACTACAATTTTAACTGCTTGTAAACCCATCCATGACATTTCTTAAATTTCATTATTTTAGGTAAAAGCCTTACCAGGCCTTGGTACAACAATAGACGTAATCCTCGTAAATGGTAAGCTAAAGGAAGGGGACACAATAATTGTGGCTGGAATCGAGGGCCCTATTGTGACTCAGATAAGGGCCCTTCTCACGCCTCAGCCCCTGAAGGAACTAAGGGTCAAAAACCAATATATTAATCACAAGGAGCTTTGCGGGGCCCAAGGAGTGAAGATAGCTGCGAAGGACATGGAAAAGGCGCTCGCTGGAATTCCATTGTATGCTGCTCAACAACAAGACGAGGTGGACTATTTCAAGGTCTGTAGGGTGAATCTCTTTGTCTGAACGTTGTCAAAGTAGATTCGAGTTCTTTTCTATTCCGTTAAACTTTCTATGCACACCTCGACATCCTCACGACGGCCGTACTCGTCTAGCTAAGTCCAACGGACATTTTCTTACAAGTCAGTAACATAGCTTGAGTGACAGGTACTCTGCCTGGTTATCTTAGTAAAGATTTAGCAAAACTGCATAAACGTGCCATGTGCATGTATATCTCGGGCAGCGAGAGAGCTAGGAAGCAATTTGCCACTTTAAAACGAGAAGGGAACTGGAGCCGAAATGCGTCCGCAATTGTTTCTGGGATCGTTACTGGAGACGTTCCAGTCAGCTATTGGCCAGTTTTTTTTTACTTGTCCGTAGTAACAGTCCCAGAAGTCTGTTAACTCGGCCCAATTTACTTCAATCGGTGCCAACCTGTACGACGAGATCTGCGCAAACTCAACACACAGTCTCCGCAAATAACTCCCAAATACACGTATACGCAAGTATTCACTACGAAGGCAGAGAACTATTATCATACCGAGATGCAAAACGAAAATATGCAAGAACAAGCCATGTTTTTATAGCTTATTATTCGATTTGGAGCCGTTTTTTCTTTTTTATTCAGACTTCATGATTCGTTTCCTTTCTAAGCAAATTTAAATCTTAACTCAATTCAGCATTTGGCTCGAAGTTGTAAGGTAATAGAGCGACCATCCGTCTTGAGAAGAAGGAGAAATGGAAAACTTTTGGTGCTTGCGCGAAAACGCGAAATGTGCCCCTCGCGTTCTCGCTCGCCCGTCGCGCGGCTGATTTCCTCTTTCTCTACCACGCGAAATTACATTAACACTAAACCCCAACTGACTTTGCAACCATTTGTGCTGTCGCTGCCATAGCCTCCTGTGGTCTGTGTTTACCCCTGTACCAACAATTGTCCTCTTCAATACTGTGGTATCTCGCGCAACTCTCTCTACCGGTGAGTTGTTTATCACTGTAACGATGATTATGTTGCTCTTGCCTCTCAACAGAACGAAGTCTCAACCTTTCTCCGTGACACACTGCAGTCTATCAAGCTGTCTGACCGGGGTGTGTACGTACAGGCCTCTACTCTGGGATCTCTGGAAGCCCTGCTTGAGTTTCTGCGCACTGAGAAAATTCCTGTGAGTACAATATTCTTTGCATCTCATAGTTTCATATTACCGTTAGTCTATCTCGTTGAGTTAATTAATTTCCCAGAAAGAAGACCCTGGAATGAGAAGTTAATGAATTTTAACGCCTTCACTCAGAGTCATATAAGTTTAAAAAGTTAAAGGTTTTTTTATAGGTTTATGGTGGAAAGTGCACTTAGCTTATCCAGCTAATCCAGCAATTGACCAGAGCGGGATTCGAACCCGGGACCGCCACGTTGCCTCCACAGCTTATCTAAATGCAGCAACCTCGTACCCAGGGCTGAGGTTGTTAATCCAGTTGCGTTCCCATTCAAGTCAAAACTTTTCTATCACGGTTTTCTATCACAGTGCAATGTTTATCGTTGTTTTAGAAAATGAAACGTGTAGGAGTTTTTTTCTTCAGCTGTGAGGATTATCACTTTGGGTATGGAAAAGGGTAAGAACTCTCTGAATGAATTTTGTATTCAGCTGTTGTGGCCTTGCCTGTCTTACGATGTTTTTGCTCTATTTAACAGTACTCTGGAGTTAATATTGGTCCAGTTCATAAAAAGGACATCATGAAGTGTTCCACCATGTTGGAACATGACGGACAGTAAGTTCTAAGTTTTCTTTTTGCTTTGTCTTCTTTGTGTCCCACATTCAAGTCAAAGAATAGTCCAGTTTCCGTGGAATCAAAAACTCAAGACTAAAGAAGCATTTTTAAGTAAAGAAATCTCGTAATAATGTATTAATGTTCACAAAGACTCGCGAGTAGACGGACTTGTTTCTTTGCGCATGTTTTTCTGTAGGTTAGTTGAAACGAACCCGGATTAAAATTGTTTGTTGATGTTTGTACGTAGCAGTAATTTTATGTTTGGATCCACGGTTTGTTTAAGAGCGAACATAGAGTATCGGACAGAATGCAAGTGCGCCTTTTAAGTGTAGTGCGTCTCATCCAGATAGGTTCGCAATGACCAGAGAGAAAGGAAGTTTTGTGCACTTATCTGGTGTAAAACTCCAAAGTCCTCTACTGGCCACTTGTACGCTAATGTAGCTTTAAGGTCATTTCGCCCCGGTTACTTAGCCGCCTATTTTAGAACGAGGAATATTATATTTGAAGTTTGCTTGTTTCGGTTTATGGCTTAAAAAACGAGGAAAATTACATTTGACGCGTGCTTGTTTTACTTTACGGATTCTAGAACGAGAAACGTTACATTTGAAGTGCGCTAAATGACTCGAAAATAGGGGGCTAAGTAACCTGGGCGAAATGACTTGGGGGCGAAATGACCGATTTCCGTAGACATCGCTAACGTGTTATTGAGTAGCCTGCGTAGCTAGCAGTATTTTTCTGCGTGGGGTACTTTCTTCGCGGCAGAGGCGTGAGGGATTTTCGCAAGCGGCGCGGCATTCGCCCATTAATTCTCCCAGCCACACAGTCTAATTTTGGTGGAAAGCAGCCTTAACTTTGCCTTAACGATACTTGTGTTTCATTCTAGGTATGCCGTTATTCTGGCCTTTGATGTGCGGATAGAGAGAGAAGCACAAGAGATGGCCGACAGTTTGGGTGTGAAAATCTTCTCTGCCGACATCATCTATCACTTGTTTGACAAATTCACTGCTTATAGGGATGTAAGTACTAAGGTTTCAAATTGACCTTATCCATCTTAGCACACGCTTTAGGATAAATAGAATGAAAGCAGTGTCACGTGGTATTTCAGGGGGTAAACAAGTGATGAAACTTACGGGCAATACGAGCAATCGCGGTCGAGTTTGTTTATTCTCTCAAAACGAGACAACTATGTTGTTCATGCAAAATTTACAGTTCGAGTTTTTAGAAGTTTTACGTCTTTTCTCGCTTGCTCTGAGGACATCTAGGGTCGCTACTGCGTCCAAAAAAGATAATTTCACCCATAATTTGCAATTGTTTTTTCATTGTATAGAATAAACGAACTCGACCGCGTTTTCTTGTACTGGCAGATTTTTTCACTTGTTTGCCTCATGAGAAACCATATGGCATCGCTTTTATTCCATCAGTCCTTAAGCGCGTGCAAAGATGGCGGGTATCGTGAATAAGGTCTTTTGATGATGATGATGACGATGATGATGACGATGATAAGAATAATAACAACTTTATTCAAAGAAGGTAGCGCTTTATAGTACAATACTGACAAACCTGTGGCCCTCCCTTAAATTAGAATAGAAACTGATTTTCAGATATATTTACAATAACATCCCCCATACCTCATATAATTGTTTCTCATTGATAGTCGTTCTGTCGCTTAAGTTTTATGTTTTCTGTGCACTCAAGCAGGTAACAAGTAAGCCTATTGATGTAAGCTCGCACCGTCGTTAGGTTTTCTTGTCACATTAACTTGTAATTTAATCAACACCTTTTGTCCAATGTTTCCATGTTATGTTATGTTCTGTGAGTGACTAAACAAACAAATAAATAAAATGAAATAAACACTCCTCTCCGCACGATAAGGCGTCGCTTGACGACACAGAGAACGCTTGCTTAAGAGGCTACGCCCAGTGAAGCTTCACCCCTTTAGCCAGGTGCTTGTCTCGCACTGGGTTTGCCAGGTCGTAATCAGTGGCGCACCTGGGCAGTTGATACCGATCACTTGATCAACAAATGAATTTCTTTCCCTAGGAATTGAAGCAAAAGAAACGTGAAGAATTCAAACACATTGCAGTATTTCCGTGTAAGCTTCGAATCCTTCCTCAACACATCTTTAACTCGCGAGGTCCGATTGTTGTGGGTGTGTCAGTTGAAGCTGGTGTTGTGAAGGAGGGTACTCCTATAGCGGTACCAAGTAAGGAGGTGAGTCTTCTTTAAAACTTTCCTAAACCTCAGACGCTTTCTTAAGATCAGGGGAAATACTAAAGCGAAGTAAACAGCAAGTTTGGCAAGCTCTATGATTATATTATACCCTCAGAAAAATCAGATAGTATAGAGGAATCTGTTTCGGCATGAATACTTGAAAATGTTCCTACTACGAAAATCAGCAGTTCATGTCATATTGTGCTAAAAAGTCATTGTTTTCAAACACGTTTTCTTGCCCGTTTTTTCACGGGGCTTTCGAGAAACGAGACCAAGAAAAGAGTTGTGATATTAACGGGCGGTGGGTTGGCCGGGTTCCACTGTACCACACTTAAGCCCCGTGAAAACGGACGTGACATTGTTAGCCAACAACTCACAATCTTGTTGGATGTTACATGTTACGTCCGTTTTGTATGTTGTTGTGGGTTGTTGCACAAAGTTTGAAACCGGTCAAACTTTCGAGCCAACAACTCCCAACATTTCTTTTGTTCCGTGATCGTCGACGCGTAGCGCAACAATGGTGGATCCGTTTGCACAGCTCTTCCAACATTGTTGGGGCCACGCACGCGCATTACACATGGTCTCCAGAGTCATATGAGTTGTATCCTTCTCACGATGCATTGCAGGTCCCAACATTGTTGGGAGTTTTTGGGTCCGTTTGCACACCGATGCCAACAAGGACGCAACAACTCCCAACATTGTTGGTTGTTGTTGCATCCGTTTGCACACCATTGCCAACACAGACGCAACAACTCTCAACATTGTTGGTTGTTGTTGCATCCGTTTGCAAACCACTGCTAACACAGACGCAACAACTCCCCAACATTTTTGGTTGTTGTTGCATCCGTTTGCACACCATTGCCAACACAGACGCAACAACTTCCAACATTGTTGGTGTGTTGTTGCATCCGTTTGCAAACCACTGCTAACACAGACGCAACAACTCGCCAACATTGTTGGGGTGTTGTTGCATCCGTTTGCACACCACTGCTAACACAGACGCAACAACTCCCCAACATTGTTGGTGTGTTGTTGCATCCGTTTGCAAACCACTGCTAACACAGACGCAGCAACAACTCCCCAACATTGTTGGGGTGTTGTTGCATCCGTTTACACACCACTGCCAACACAGACGCAACAACTCCCAACATTGTTGTGGTTTAAGCAACGACGTCTTTTAGCGACGCATGTCAACCGGAAGTGGACTTTTTGCACTCTTCAACCGTGATTTTGGAAACAATTCTTGAGTAAATTGTCTCTTTAGCGGAAAACAGACTTGGCAATACAAATTTGGTAGCGTAAAGGCATATTAAAAGAGAAAAAGGCTCACTTCCGGTTGACGTGCGTCGCTAAAACACGTTGCTGCTTAAACTGCCATTGGCAGTAGAACAGACCTTTGAGTCTACGTTGGCGGGGAACATTAACCCGCGAGTATTATCAGACGGTATCACTGCTTCGACGTTTCGAGGTCTCATTAACACGATATAGCTGAAACTCACATGTTGTGCCTCAGTGAATGTAGACTGTTTTTTTTCTTGTTGTAGTTTTTGGAAGTTGGTGTCATTACTGGCATTGAAGCGAACCACAAACCGCTCCCTGAGGCGCGGAAAGGAATGGAAATATGTGTGAAGATCGAATCTCCAGCTGGAGAGGCGCCAAAAATGTACGGCAGGCATTTTGATCATACAGACCTCCTGGTTAGCAAGGTAAACTCTATATTAAACATGCTTTGTTTGTTTTCTATTCGTTTAGTAATTAGACCTCCGGAAAGGACAACCTCCCTAGAGCAACCTCCCGTAAGCGACCACCCAAAGAGATGTCGGTTAAGCCCGGTTTCCATATGATCGATGCGATCGCTGAGATCGCTACGATTGTTGCGATCGCTGAAAAATAATTCCAGCGATCGTCGCGATTGATGGTTTCCATATGATCGCTGCGATCGCTGAGATCGCTGCGATTGTTGTGATCGCTGCGATCGCTGAAAAATAGTTCCAGCGATCGTCGCGATTAATGGTTTCCATATGCCCGCTGCGATTGCTGAGAAAGTATCGAGGGGACCCGGGTCTCACAACATCGTTCGCGCCGTTCTTCAAATTCAAAAAATCCGTCTAGTTTTTAACTCAGCCAGCGCGATTGCAAACCACGACGTTATGTTCTAGTACCGCCTCTCTTCCAGAATCAGACCTTTAAAAATCTCGCGTGGGCTGTTCTTGTGTTTTTAATTTTTTTCTCGGCCTGATCGAGACTCGGGTCGAATTTTTCCCCAATTGCTTACTGGCAATCGTTTTTCTTGTGCTTGTTTTCAATATTCTGTGGAAAATTTGTTGTAAAGGCAGTTGTATTTTTGCACAAAGTGTCAAATCCAATGATTTTTTGTTACTCGTGGTGGTATTTTTGCTATCGCTACGATCGCTGGACGGGAGTTTCCATATAATCGGCAAATAATCTGCTGGCCACTGACAAATCACAACATTTTGCGCAACCTCGTCCAATAATTGGAAAGAAATTATTCTTTCTCCTTTTTTTAATTCCACAGATCAGCCGGGAGTCTATTGATGCAGTAAAGAACTACTTCAGAGAAGATTTACAAAAGTCTGACTGGCAGCTAATGATTGAACTTAAAAAATTATTTGAAATACTTTAAATCCGACTAATCAATATGCGCGCTGAGATGCAACCAAGACAATGTAAATCTCTTAAGACAGGGAGAAGGGATCGCTGCGGATACAACTCCCATCTCTCAGTCCATCAGTCCAGCCATGTTGTTTCGTCTTCTAGCGCTTTTTCTCCAGGGTTTTTATGTGACTGTACAGAAGCAAGAGATCATAATAGTCCTATTATGGCTCTTGATAGAAGTCATTAATATATTGACTTTACCTGAGGCGTGAACATGTCGGTGTATACTATCGAGCGTTTCTTTGCGATATAAGCGCGCTTTTGAGATATGTTCAGTAACCTGAAATCGAAATCGAGAATCAAAATTTTTTCTGTTGTCTTCTCTAGGCTGTTGGTGTGATCAAATAACGTGTGTTTCGTTCCTGGGCCGCATCGCAGAGGGTCCCTAGAGGCTCTTCGATCCTGTCATCCTTACCCAAGTTCTTGCTCAGTCCCGTAATCCCGATTTCGGCGTACCGCGTCCCGCACATACCGTAAATCCTCTATTAAGCCCCCCCCTTCTCAAACAAGCCCCCACCCTCCACTAAGCTCCCCCCCTTTTCGGGGGAAGAAAATTAATAAGCCACCCTCTCCTCCCCTGATTATTCTTCACCCATAAATGATAGACTGTATTAATCAATCACGACTCTAAAACTTCGTGTGGACTGATCCCGAATGGTTTATTCACCAAGTGGAAGCTCGGATTTGATTTTGATGCTCGGCTGCATGGCCTCCAACCTTCTGGTACTTGAGCTTTTCCACTTTGTATTCTAGTTCTTTATGGAGAACTGATACTATCGTCTTTTCTCAATAAAATAAGTCCCCGCCGCCCCTCAAAAAAGTCCACCGTCTCTATTAACCCCCCCCCCCCCCCCTCAAATGGGCTTGAAGTAAATAATCCCTTGGGAAGGGGGGGGGGCTTAACAGAGGATTTTTGGCACTTTAAATTTCGAATCTCGCCCCCATGTAGCCTTAAAATCGCGGCCTTCAAATACACTGTACTAAGAAATCGCATATCCCGAAAAACCCTTTTGGGGACCCTCTCCGCAGTACAATCTAAATGCGGGCAAATTGCCGTGCAATTAAAGCCACGCGCAGTTTTTCCTGTTTGCACAAGTGTCTTGCTTTTGCGTTTGAAATTGCGTGAAATTCGTCTTTAAATCGCCTGTGTCCTCTTCTACCGAGATTGAAGTTGGTATCAACGTCACTGTAGGAAAATAAAACGACTTAAAATTAAATAAGTAAAACTGGATCTGAGTATGACCTTTGTATAACGTTGCGCTCGCTCGTGTAAATCATTTGGAGAGTATCTTTCACTATTTTTGTGGTCAACAAAGAATAAATTATGTTGAAAATATGAAGAAGTTGACTCTTCCTCAAGTGTCAAATAAATGTTTTAGAAAAAACTCTTGTCCACGACGTTTTCAAACCCTCAGGGGCAAGGGAGGGCCGGCAGTTGAGTTGGGTAGTGGAATATCATTACCCCAGAAATATACCAACCTGTCAACAAATAAACCAAAATCGTGTAAAATAAATACAAAAGTTTAGGAAACCATCGTGTATAGTGAAACCCCGCCTTATACGGCCACCTCAGTAATACGGTCGCCTCGTTATTACGGCCCCTTTTTTTCTCGTAAAAAACTCTCGTTAATATCTTATTTCCCTGTTTGGGTCAAAGGAAAAAATGTGCCCTGTTTTAAGGGACAGAGTCCACAGACTCGCACGAAATTATATACCCTGTTTTATGACAGAGAGGTGAAAAAACCATACGCTGTCCAGCGGCACATCCTCGTAAAGGCCATATAAAGGAGTTGCCTAGTCCCTGTACGGCGTTTTCCCAGTCCCTCTCGGTCAATTCGTTTCGGTGACGTATCCGAGGCGAACGGGCGGGAAACGCCTCACATTTTCGCATGGACCACGTGACCCGAAACGCTTTGGCCGCGAGGAAAAATGAGGCAAATAAAGGAGTACAAAATAAGGTTGTTAGAATGAGATGGTTTTGTATGGAATTTTATCATAAGTTGGATGACACGGTAAAAATGCACATTAATGTACGTAACTCATATAGAGATGTCTTTGTAAAGTTTTCCTATTACTATTTCCTGTCCCCCGGGCTCTAGCCTGCGAACAGCAGACGCATTTCCGGTCGTCGCTTCTCTCGATCTCGACCTCCCTCCGAAAATTTTTCGGAGGGAGAAGCGACGCCCGGAAATGCGTCTGCTGTTCGCAGGCTACCCATGCCCGGGGGGGTCCTAATTAGCTTCATTCTCTTGGGAAGCCTGTAATATCCCGGGGAAATATCCAGAAGAAATGAAAAAAGGCAATGTGTGTTACTGGGGAGATGTGAAAAGGTAGATGTAGTGGCCTGGGATTCCTGTGCTTTGTCGGGAACTAGGAATTCGAAGAGAGAGAACTGGCGCCTAATAGAAATAGAGGAAGCCAAGATAAGAAGCCGCAGATGAAATGTAAATACGCTAAAAAGCGGAAATATATATGGGTCACAAATGTTCATCGTTTTTCAGACCATCTGTGACTGTAAATGGGAAAAAATACAGAGTGGTTAAAGATCTCGGAGAGGGAGGTAAGCTCTTTCACAGTCTTCGCTCATGAGCTCTCATGACATGACATGTCGATCGATCTGTCATGTGGTGGCTTAAAATATTTTTGCCTTTGTGATCCCTTTACCTTATTAATAATTGTTGTTTTTCTTTTGCCTTGAAAATCCCGGTGAATCTCTACAACTAGTTGAATCTATTTGTTTTTATTAGAATTCAACAGAAAGGAGCAAAATTATTAAAAAGAGAATGGACGAAACTTAGTCTTTAATTGGGCTCAAATTATGTAACAATTAAACATGATGCAGTTGTTGTTAATCTTCTCATCGGAGGAAGCTTTGGATAATTAAGAAGTAGAGACCAAGAAAACAAATACTTTTAATTATTTGTGTATTTTATGCTATGAAAATTCTTTTGTACGGTCGCTATGCTCTCTATTTCAGTTAACTGACTCGACTGCTGATATTTGAAGAGTATTGAAGTCAGTCACCAAGAATTAACTCCCAACTTGTATCATCTTATTAATAAAATTTATAAAATATTTTGTTTTAGCTTTTTCTTATGTTAACCTTGTCTACCGTGGAAAGGAATGGTTTGCCTTGGTAAGTATATTCGTCACATTAAAACTACTGCAAAATTATAGAAGGTAGTTGGGCAGAAATTTGCATGGTTGCAAAAATTATCTTGCATAATTTTTTATTAAGTTTCTCAATATTATATATAGTTGGCACATTTTATTATCAGACGGTATATTTTATTACTAAACAGAATAGGGGTGTTTTAATAATGAAGAAAAAACAAGTGCTCAACTGCTGTTGGACATTAAACCGAAAAGCCGCTAATTTTTATAACAGCAGAAACCAAAAAACTTATATCAAAAACTGAAAAAAAAAAATAATGATAATAATAATAATAACAACAACAAGGAAAGCCCAGTTACCCCTTTTCATATGTACAGGTAGGCCTTCCAGCACATCAAAACATGACTTTGTATAACTGGTGGGTTAACTGACCTTAATTACGAGGCTTTTAACAGTGCAAAGTTTGCACTTGGTATTTTAAATTAACTTTTTTGTTCTCTCTTTCCAATTTTTTTCCTGCCAAAATTTTATTATAAGAAAAACACGAGTGTAATGCAACCCCTGTTAGTAATGCATCAGTCAATTCCAGACTGATTCACGTCAATAACTCCCGAGTTTCGCTATGACTGTAATTCTGGCTTGATAAGCAATGAAGAAATGCATGCATAAAATCAAGAACATGCCTTTACAACCCCCTGTCCTTGACAGATAAGCCAATGTGCTTTTTTTCCAGTGATATCCTCTGTGTAGTTATATTCTGATAGGAAAGGGTGTGCATGTCAAAAACTCAGGAATAACCCCGGGGTTGGCAAATGCCAGGCACAACTGGAATTGACTGATGCATAATGTCTGGGAATCAGCACTGATATCCTTGTTCTGGGCCCTAACGGACTCCGCAAATCACATATTTTACTAGGAATGTGTTTGGAATTTCCCTTTAACCTGAGTGGCAAAATGGACAATGACTTTTCGCTGGCCAATCATGGTGCATACTCAGAATTGAACTAGGATTTTGGCACTGTTTCACAAAGGGAAGTTTATAGTTCCATCTGTAGCGCAGGCTAGTGAAAGATAGTCGACCTTACAATTGTTGCTCATAACATTCAGGTGGACAGTCATCAACCATTTCCATGTCCTTCTCAATAACACCAAACATGCAGTTCAAAAATTCATTGGACTTTGTTGTGACATTTTTAATTGACATACCCTTAAACCTTTTGAGCTGCAAATTATTTATTAGGGAGTTACTTGTATTGCAAAACCTCACAATTAATTCGCTCATTGGTTGTATAAAGGGCCAGCAATTAAGAAACAAAGAGAACCACCACGACCCTGTTTGTATACGTGCCTGACAATACTCTTCAACAAAATAATCAACCACTCTTAACTTGGTAATTTACCAAGTTGTCTTTTCCTTTATTTTTAAGCTCTCGCAAGTGACCACTCAAAGATTAATAATAATATTATATCATATTAGGCAACGTGTTCAACAAAAGTACAGTGTACATATAATTATTATAAGCTACTTGAGCGCATTAATTCAACTTAACATTATTTTGCTCTATTTTTGTTTAGAAAAGAATGCGTTTACAACTCCCTGAGCAAGAAGAGGTACCTACTGTACATATTATTTTGATGAATCTTACATGCAAGCGTTCAGTTCTAAAAAGCCATGTGAAGATAGTGACCAAATTAGCCACCAGCATTTTATTATAACTTTCCTCTCTTTTTGCAGAGCCCTGGAAGCACAAGCTAACTTACATGCTACACATATTATTTTCAGTTGATGAATCTTGCATGCAATGATGTTTAGTTCTAAAAAGCCAAAATAGTGACCAAAGTAGCCACCAGCATTTTACTATTTTTTACATATATCTTTCTGCAGAACCCAAGCACGAGCTAACCTACATGTGCCCTGGCTATACCCCTCCGCTTAAAAGCTCATCAACATGGAAACAATAATATTATCTTTCCCCTACCAAACCCATCCAAAACCTCTTGACACAGCATGTACACACTTGCCTAAATTGTTGTTATTTGGGGCTTATTAACTAGAATTTTATAGTATTTTAGGTGTAAGCCAGGTAGGATTACAGTTTACATATAATTCTGACAGTACTCTCCATTTTGTGCATGATTGAAGCTCTTTAGACAATTTAGTGAGAAACTGTGATAGTAATAAACAAAATAACAAATATTACAAATCATTTAAAAAGGCTGCATTTCATTGATTCAAGTCCATCACTGCAGCTGATTCAAATCAATGCACTGGTGTATAAAATGAACACACACTGAATAGAACAATTATTTTGATAATTTTATATTCAAATTGATACATGGCTATTAGGCTTGGGGGAATTTAAACAAAAGAAATGTATTGTTCATTTCTGAGCCTCAAGATGTCTTTTTTTTTGTTTTAAATTTATTGCCCCAAGCCTGCCAAGTATGAATTTTAATTCATTGAAATGGTCTATTTATTTTTGTTTTAGGCATTTGAACGTGAGATTGAAGCCCACAGAGCAGTTGATCACCCAAGCGTCCTGGCCTTACATGATGTGGATGTGGTTTCCAAGGGAACATTTAAAGAAGCTCGCATGCTTGTCACTTACTATAAGGTAAACTTAGAGGCCTTACAATAGTCAGCTTTCAACATATAAATTTCTTTTAAAGACTTTCAGATACTGTTTTATCTCCTTGTATTTAATGTTACGGGTCAAAATTAAATTAAGGTTAAATTTTTTTAACCTTGGTTAATTCTCAGTTTCCTTTGTCTCCTGGTCCTAATAAATTATTCATGAATTAAGGCTAGTAGACAAAGAAAACTGGGAATCAATCTAGGTTAAAAAATTTTGACCCAAACATTATTTTGACCTGTAACATATACATTAGTGCCTGCTGCATTATTGAGCACTTGCAGTGATTTTGATGTCAGCCCAAAAGGAGTTAAGGTCCCTATTGAATTGTGGGATTGCTTAATTAAGGGGTAATGAGAGGCGGGGGGTGGGTGCATTGGCCCCAGTCGCACCTGGCCCCTCCAGCCAGGGTGTTAAAAAAACTGGTTAGATCGATCATTGCTGGCAGTGTTTAAGATCATGTCTTAGTTCAGATGTGATCCACATTAATGGAAGGTGACTTCAAGCGGTTGACCTTGTCTCCTTCATCCCTCTGATCTCATATTTAGTTAATTTGAAGGGATGTAAAAAGAACCCACACTGTTTGGAAAGATAATATATAATGTGAAGTTCTTCCAGTAGTGTTGTCCCCCTCTGCATCTCTTATCGCTTCACTTATCACACTTCTAGTGTACGTATCTGTATATTCTGTGATACAGAAAGCTCATATTCAAATGACTAATAGTGACAGCCAGTGGCTCCTTTGTATGCTGATGACTGTCTGAGCTTTCTGATAATTATAATGTAGACTCATATACATTGTACAGTTGAACCTTGATTACCCAGACTCATTGGGACTTGAGTAAATAGTCTGGATAATCGAAAATATGAATATGAATGAGACAATAATGTAAACATAGGGAATAAAGAAAACAAAATTTTATTGTGAATTGGTTCCTACTTGAATTTATGTACTGACTGTAAGTATTCATGTATTTCCAATCCTTCGCTTGTCTCAACACTGTCAGTGAATTTCAGGATCTTCTCTTTGTTTCTGCCTATATCTGAAATCTGCTGCTTGCTGCATGATGTTAAACTCGAACGCTAAATTTGTTCCTTTTTCGCCTTTCTCCATACGTGAAATAGTTGTTTGCTTATCCTTTATTGAGAGAACAGACTGCTTTCGTTGCATATAGACATGGCTGCGATTTGAGTTTGCAATTGATTGATCTTGTGTTTACATAACCAATGCGGAATCAAGCACGGCATTCCCTTGGCAACATAACAATATTGAGCCAATCAGAATTCAGCTGAATGCATCAGAGTAATTGTTCATCTTGTGCCGCTAACACTTTTTCAAAGTGAAACAGATTAATGTTTTTAAACACACGTTTGGAGGGATTAATGAACTTTTAATCATTTCAATTTTTCAAGATCACATCTTATTAATATTCATAATCATGAAAAAAACGGGACCAGGGAAACCAGTCCGTATATTCGAGGTCTGGAAAATCGAGGTTCGACCGTATTGCAGTTTTCCTCTCTTCTACAACATTACACACACTTTCAAAGGCTGTGCTCTAAGAAAAATTGAAGGGGACCCGGTCCTGTAGTCTGAACCTGAACCTGTAAAATCAAGGGTGCTCAGCATAGGATCTTTATGAGTTAACTACATACAGTAGTACACCATGTAAGAATCCCTAGTTGCCCAAGAGTGACTGTGTCTACAAGCCTGACGTGTCACAGACTGAATTAATCTACCCTCAGTTAGTAGCATCTGTGAACTGCACCAATATCCTTGTTGGCTCCCTAGCTACGGACTCAACAAATTACAAGAAATGCATTTTGAATTTCCCTTCAACCGGATGGGCAAATTGACAATGACATTTTAAACAGGCTAATCATGGCACTAAGGGGGGCTTAGAACAAGTATTTTGGCGCTGTTTCGTCTGGCGGCTGTTGTGTCTACTAGCCTTTTTTGCAGAATTGATCCAACCCAGGGTCCAGTTGTTTGAGGGCCGATTAGCGCTAACCCAGGTTTAAATTAAATTTTTAACCTGGGCTTCTTTCTCTTTTGCTCAAAAGCATTTTCCCAGATAATTTTCTCTCTTCTTTTTAGAGCATCCAATCATCAACTTGTTGACAAAAAGAATTAAACTGAATTTACTTTTTAAGCTTTCATATCTGAACTCAAATTTTGCACTAACACTGGGTTATCTTAACCCAGCTTTGAACAACCCGGCCCTGGTTAGTAGCATATGGGAAGTAACTCCAATATCCTTGTTCTGAGCTCCCAGTGAGCTTAACAAATAATTACCAGAAATGTATTTTGAATTTCCCTTCAATGGCATTTTTAAAACCGTTTAAGTCCCAAGAATGACCAATATCAACTTTCTCCTCACAATATTAATATGTAATCAAGAAAACAGGTTAGGAGAATTTATAAAATGATCACCTAAGGGGAAATGCTTTGATCTTTGAATAAATTCTCTCAACTAATCCTGTAAGGAAATGTGTGGAGATCAGTTTGGAGAATTTGTACGTGAATCTTGCTGGGGCTTAAAGGGTAAACAGGCCAATCATGGCCCATAGTAAAATCCTCGTACACAGTTGAGGGCCCTGAACATGGATTTCAGCACTCTTTCGAAGCTGGATTTAACCAGAAGTTTAGTTCTGTCTGGGGTGCAGGGTAATGTCTACTTAATATGTAACTTAACCCATTATTTTGTCGTAGTAATGACTTTTCTCCAACTGGTGTTTATCATTCTTGCTGACAATTCATTATTTTTGTTATAATCAATTTATTTTAGGATGGAACAGTTCAAGACTTGATTGAACGAACAGCAAGAGAAGGTGGTCACATCCCAGAGTTAGATATCCTTCATATGTTCAAGTCACTATGTGATGCAATACTAGCATTTCATAGTTTAGATCCTCCACTAGCTCATAGAGATATCAAGGTATGCATTGTAAACCTGGATTATTCAAATTTTTATCTTTGCTGTATCAAGGACAGTTTGTATTGTAACAGTTACAGGTCAAAATTAAATTCATGGGCTAAAATTTTTCAACCTAGGTTGATACTTAATTTGCTTTGTCTCCTAGCCCTTATTATTCATGAATTAGGGCCAGGAGACAGGAAATTGAGAATCAATAGTGAAAAAAAAATTGATGGGAAATCCTTTGGTTACCCCAAAACCTGTGACCCTCATGCCATATGAGTCGCTCATAGCTTAGTGGTTAGAGCATCCTACTGGTTACTGGAAGGTCGTGGGTTCACGGATTCCTGCTGGGGGCTTGGATTTTTTTTCGGAGCATTACTTAGTTGTATGTAACATCTATTTCTAATTTCATCACACTTGGGTGGTTAGTTGAAAAAAATTTAACCTGAATTTAATTTTGACTTGTACTGTGAAAGCTGCTAATAAGGCCTCAAAAGTGCAGCACCTTATACAGCACAGCCAATTAAGTATAAATTAATGATAATAAGAAGTGCCCAGAAATAAGCCCTGATTAAGCCCTGATTAAGTTACCACTTACCACAAGTGGCAATGAGATGTATGTGTACATGTAATGGAAAACTTGTTAAATAGAATAGCAAAATAAAGAATTGGACACTCGAACCACTGGCTTTGCATTGATCCCACTGTACATGTACATCTACTTTTCATGAGTACATGTAGTAATAACAATTATCTATGATACAGTCAAACTCCCTGTAAGCACCCTCCTAAAATCCCAAAGTTTAGTGGTCACTTACAAGAGTTGAACCAGAGGCGGTCTCTACTGGGAACAGGTCAGAGAAATGTACTTTCTGTATTCAAAGAGAATAATTAAAATTATTTAATGAAGTAGTGTGTACTATAGTCTCCTTCGCAGCTGTTTTTAGGCTCGTCATGCAACACTCCGTGACACGTTGCATGACAAGCCTAAAAACAGCTGCGAAGGAGACTATGTGTACTATGGAACCAAAAAACTCTTAAGTTTATATTACTTTGACTTGTACACAAGTGAAAACTAAATGAAATTCTTACAAAGAGATTTCTGACTATAATTGATGATCGATCAGTTATGTAAATCCAACCGGTATTTCAGATGTTCAATTATGATTGGAATTCTCAGCTGATTCCCAACACTAATTATTGAACCTTTATGTGACATCACCTCCCTGAGCATTTCATGCCCCAGGGTTTGTACAGTATCTTCAGTGTCTTAAATTCTTTGTAAAAAGTGTTGAAATTTGCAGACCAGTTTTTCAGAGTTGGAAAAAGTCTAGAAAATAAAGATAAAGTCTGGAAAAAATAATTGTAAAAAGGCTGGATTTTTTAGTCTTCTTTTTGTAAACTGCAACAAGTGCGTAACTTCTGAGTGAAATTTTTTCTTTGGTAGTCAGATCTTTTCCAATCTTGTCTGTAGCCAAAACGGTTTAATCACAGAATAAAAAGTTTCAAAACTCTCTTGTGTCTCTCTTATGTGTTTCATGGGAACAGCTTTGTTCCTGCATTTGTTAAGGCAGGCAAGGTTTCTTTTGATCTCTTATTTTGATAACCTTGAGACTTTTAAAATTATTTTCTCAGGAAAGGTCTGAATAAAAAATTCTGTATGACCCCACTTTGCCTATAGGAAGAATGACTGTATGAAGACTTACAGTTTTTGGTTGCAACTTGTGAGTTTGAGACAGTTGAGACAATATGAACCAGTGCAAGTGGGCAAAAGGTCAATCGGATCTCATAGTGAAGAAGCCTAACTTGTATATTGTGGCATGTTTTCGACTAGCATTATTTGCATAGTATTGATATGTTCTTGTTATGAATATTGTCTTCTTTCTGTTTACTTTGAAAGCCTCATAATTTATTGATTGATGCTGATAATTCTGTGGTATTGATGGATCTTGGTAGTGTGTCACAAGCCCGGTGCACCATAACATCTAGGTAAACGTTTATTCTTCTTCTGATAGTAGGCAGTTGTAAAGATTTGTGTTGAACAAAATAGTTTTCTTTAATTGACACAAATTCTTTAGTTTTTATGTAGGCAATTAAAGTACATGTAATCTAAATGCTGTCATAATTTCCCATCTAAGCCCCTTGTTTCACTCACTAGTTCTTTTTCTTAAGGCAAAAAAAGAACAAAAGTATAGCAGATTCACTACTCACAAAAGTTTCCCTTTTGATTTTAATACCTTGCTGTTGAACTAAGCAAAAGATCACCAGCAACGGTTTACGGTCATCTCGCCACCAACAAAATCGCCACCAACGAATTAGAAACAGAATTCCGTATTCCTTGAAAACACAGCTTCGACTTTGTATTTTTTCTCGTAGAAGAGAAGCTCTTGCACTTCAAGAGAAATGTGCTCAAGAATGCACGGCAGCTTACAGGTTGGTCTTTTTTTTAGGTTGTTTGTTGGAATGTTCTATTCACTGTAGAACCTGACCAACTGCAAAAAAAATGTTAACTGTAAGCCATGTTGACATAGGACAGTCACTAGCTAAGCTGCCAGTTTTTCAGGTCAGAATAGACCGGCTCTTCAGCTTGTATGTTTTATTTTCTCAATGTACATGTAAGTCATGTGATAATACTTTAGAGAACTGTTTCCACTGTTTCATTCAAATTTCGTCTCATTCCTTTGCAAATATGTACACGTAATTTGTGAAAAGACAAAGGGGCCCTTTATTTGGAAAAAAGAAAACAACAACTTAAGAGGGGTAGTCTTCACAGACTACATGCTCATAACTCCTCCGCGAAGCCTGGAAAAGATTCAACTGTTCCTTGGTCTTTGTAAAGACCTTTTTCTCTTACCAGGGCACTGGTTATCTAACCTCATGCTTACATGCCATGCCTTCCGTGACTCTCCTACAAAGCCGTAAAATCCAACCTTAAATTGCAGTACTTCATGTGATTTACTTGAAGAGTATCAAATAACTACTGTCTTGTAGGGCTCCAGAGCTTTTTGAAGTGCCATCACACTGTGAAATTGATGAGAGAAGTGATGTGTGGTCACTAGGTTGCACTCTGTACGCCATGGCTTATGGTGAGTCACATTTTTTCAAGACTTCACATTCCGTTTCAGTTTACTCAAAAGAGCGTCTCCTTAAATAATCTGGCCGACTTCCATCAACAGTGCAGCACATCTTGATCTAGTCATTTTTTTACAGTACTGATACATGTATAGAAAACTAATTAAAGATTATGTTCAGAATCAAGTTTATTACCAGTGAGCAAAGAAACTCGTGTCCGATAGCCCGGGGCTAGTGGATTTTGCTATCAGGCTAGTGATTTTTGTTCTTAACTTGCCCGACTACAGAAGGATTGTAATCAATCCTGCTAATCAAAAAGGGTTTTGGGGTTAGTTGACTGAATGAGTTTTGGGCTAGTACATGCTAACTACAGCTTGCCCGAATGGCGGGCTGTAAAACTGACTTTCTTTGCACCCTGATTACTATTAGTAGTTAGTTCTCAGTTACATATTATTTACTAAATGTGTTAAAAACCCATCTGCTATCTGTTAAAAGTTAAGTACATTTAGGGAATCTCCCCAGAAAAGCTCAAGGGAGCTTGCCGAGATCCCTGGCCAGTGTAATTAATTTTAAGATGTATAGCAGAGTTATTACTTGTTACTCTAAATGTTATGGTAAATCAAACTTGATACAATAAACTTTCCTTGTTGCAGATGAATATAAAAAAGAGGAGATACACCTCTAAAGCTTACTTTTGTTATGTCCTCTGCCGTATGCAGTTCAGTATCGTTTTGAGAAAAGAAAGAAAAATAATATTATTAAAGGGCTCAAGTTGTACTGTTATTCGCAAATGGCAAGTTTTATACAGTCAACTTCCTTTTTTTAGCGGAGACTGTAGGCACCTTGAGTTAGTGTCCTCATTAGCGAGAGTCGTTAATAGCGGGGCTTTATTTCAGTCGAACGTCTGTAAACAATTTTTGGTTGGGATTTAGCTGCTGTCTGTACTATCAGAGTGTCCGTTATAGCGGGGTATCCGGCGCAAGGCGAATGTTGACTGTATACGTATATTGCCCTCGTATATTGTCATCGTGTGTGTAACTTATAGAAATATACCTTTAAGTGGCATTAAATTATTGAAAGAAGCAAACATCAATTTCGAATTAGACGACTGTCCTTGTTTGTGGGTTGCTCTTTGCAAATTAGCGAGAAGTTTGAGTCTTATTAACCTGGTGTAATTGAGATGAATATTTTTTTCATATTATGTGCTAGGTCAAAGCCCTTGTGATGGCTCAGCGCTGTCAGCAAATAGCGGAAATATTCACATACCAGATGACAGGTAAGTAAAAAAAGCTTGACTTCTGCTGAATTACGGTCGTTTCGCCTACGAGTCATTTGGCCAACGTCCTGTTCGCTAACGTGTCAAGTCGTTTCGCTAATGTGTTAGTTGAGTTCCCTTACTTCCTTCGCCTGATATTTGACTTGATATATACGTGTATATATACATTACGTATACATGATATATAAATAATTGTCGTACGTTTTTGTGTCATGGCTGGAAGAACGAGACATATACATATGCAGCGCTCGTTTCGTTTCTTAAGCGAGACGACGAAAGACGTTGTTAGCGAAACGACCGACTTCAGTAAAGTGGACTTGTCAAGTGAATGAATAGAGAACACCGTTACTGGTGCCTGTTATATCACAGGGTGCCCAAATTTTTCCGGATTGACATCCGCTCTCAGGTTTATTTCACTCAGGGTATTCGGATTCGCAGGCGTTTACACTCACCAGTGAAAATGATAAAATTCATTTGATGTACGGTTATACCGATTGCATTCAGGATTCAAAATCCCCAGACTCCGGGACTTTTTATTTCGTGAAAACGGCAAGAACCCTGTGACAAAGTGTTCCAGATTTGTCACGAATCCCCCCCTCCCCTCCTACCGCCAGAAAAAAAATCCTGTAGTTTTAACGTAGCCTAAGAAGTAGACTGCAAAACGGTAAACTGTTAAGCAGTCTGCTTAAGAGGAAATCGAGAATTCAGCTAGATCTAAAACAAAATAATTTAAAGTGAATTATCAGCCCTCACCACCATTGAAAGTCTCCAGTAGTGATGTCATAGAGGCTTTTCATATGACGTCACTTCCGCCATGTTGTCCCAAAACAATAAAATGGGGCCGTGTTGGCTGCTGGCCCATCGAGTGAAAACACTATAGATAGTGAGTGCGACTAAGTATTGCTGCTTTTTTGGAACTGTTTTCAGTGGTTATTCAATGGAGCTGAATGGCTTGATCATGAGTATGCTTAAGGTGGATCCTCAGGAAAGGCCAACCCTAGAAACCATCATGCGAAGGTTAAACAACTTGGCACCCTCATCATCAATCCTTCAGTATGATACTGCTGCAGGGAACCCCTCCATACAATTGTAATAGACCAAATTACGGTTATATACTAAGCAACCGTGCCTTTGAGTGGAACTGAGGCTGAAGATGACATTGTTTTGATAAGCACCTCAGTGCCATTCATGTGCACAACAGCAAGATTTACACTGAGGTTTTTTATTAAAACGAGGTGAACTCCAGCCTCGCTTCCACTTAAAAGGCCAGGATACACGGTACACAACTGTAAAGTGGTCTATTGATATAGTTACCGGTGATGATCGTTTTGCTTCAAATAGAACGAGCGCTGTTATAGTGACTTGATGCTAGAGTGATTAAGAGCCCCAGACTGTCAGCAATGTCTTGTTTTTCCAAAAAAATACTTGCAAACCTCCAAGTTTGATTACCTCTCATAACCTCTGATGAAAGGGCATTATATGAGATGTAGTTAACTTTGGAACCTTTTTGCGATAGCGATTTCGCATTTTCTCAGATATTGTTTGCGACGAGCTGCGTAAGTTAACCATAGTTCCTAGATTTGTTTTTAAAGTGACGTAGAAAAAATGTAAACAGTGACGCCACAAAGATTCGCCCAATAGCTTGTAGCTCTCATATTCGAGGCCCTCTCACAAGCAACGACCAAAACGTATCATTTTGTTTGGGCGCTTAAGAGTTTCGCCTATAGTTAGTTCCAGTGAAATAGCCAGCAGACTGCAAGTAACATGAATGTTGACGGGGTTGCAAAATAAAGGAGCCTCGGATACAAGCTTGCTTTAAAGTAAAAGCGAAGGCTAAAAAATATCCTCAGAATATACTGAAAGTTTTAGTGAGCTACAGTGTTTACATGGGAATCAAAATTTCCAAAATTTATTTTACATAGATAACGCTAACTTCGAAACTTTACAAATGTACGATTTATGCTAAATTTGTTATTCATTTGAGACAAAAACATTCACCAAAAAAAAAAACAGTTCACCTCTTGTGAAATTTTGTGCTTGTTTCAAATTTTCTCGGAACTCGCAATTGGCCTATTGACGATGAACTTGGACCGCAACTTGGCGATTATTTATATCGAAATTCAAAATGGGGACCGATTTGTTTGAATGAAGTATGTTGATCTCCCTGATTTCGGTAATGTTCTGAGAAAGTTAAAAAATAATTTTTATCTTAACTTTGCACCAAGTCTGTTTGACTTAAAGAAAATAGAAGATGCAGTCCTTATACAGGGAATAGATTGTCAAATCGAATTACAGTCGACTCCCGGTAACTCCAACCCTCTATAACTCGAACCTCCCGCTAACTCGAACCAATTTTCATTTCCCTTCAGATCGTTTTCCATATAATTTTACCCTCGATAACTCGAACTTCCGATAACTCGAACTGTTTTCTATTTCCCTTGAAGGTTGGAGTTATCGGGATTCGACTGTATATCACTTAATTAGTGAGGACTGGAACTCTTTTGAAGATTTCCATTATTTTTCAAACCCGAATGAACTTTTTTCTCTCTCGTGTTTTAATACTATGCTGTCGAAAATGTCTATTATGAACTTATCAGAATTATTCCTGTAAATATGTTTATCTTATAGAGACAGCAAGTCTCAGTAGAAAATTACTACAAAATAAAGTTTTATTGAAATGTCATTTCGCCCTATTGGTCTGTCTGCTCACTTAGAAGCTAGTATAATTTTTCTCTAATTTGAGAACCATTTCAGAATCGAGGACTTGTTGTGTCCATCAAACGACCATAGAAAAAGTGTTGATGTTCCTCATCCCCTCAATGGGGTGGGGGGAGTCAGGAATTTTTGATTGAGGGTGGGTGGGTGAGGGAGTCAAACTTGTGTAGACTGTTGCAGCTGTTAAAGTTCGCTCCACTCTTATTACAGGCCCATTGATCTATAACGAGCTTTACGAAAACCTGGAGTTAACTTTCATCAAAAATATGAACGAATTCAATGAGACTGTGGGGAAATTAAGGGAGTGGACCCAGACCCCACTTTATCAACGGTTCAGCGGTTGAAATTTATAGCGTCCAGCTAAATATTTAGCCCGTTGTTTTTGGCTGAAATTACTGGTATCAGGTTTAATTGATGAAATGCGTTTGCCAAATAAATGTTTGAGAAATTGTTTGAGCAGATGTCCTTGTTTTGAGTATTACTATGAGGGAAAACGAGCCGCGAACTCGAATTTTGGGATAAGTGTTCTCTATATGAACGGTAGGCTTCGTTTATAAGGAGTAACGTCCCTGGGAAGGGTCACTCGCCTACCCGAGCAACCCCACGCCTAAGCGAGCCAAATTTTCATACATTTCCTTACAAAACTTGTCGAACCTTTTACATGAGAACAAAAAAAAACGTTGGCCCGGCTGGGAAGGTGACCCTACTATCTCAAAATGCTAGGCCGGCTAGGCGGGTGACCCTCCCAGCTGGGACAACGTTTCTCCATATTAACACTTTGGCACGCACAGCCGGGCAAACTCGATCAAGGCAAGACAATAAGAGAATACGGAAGTGCTGTTGGCTAGGGCAAAGGGGTCAAATTTGTTTTCTCTCATTTAAACGGTCGCTAAAGTTGACTCGGCTGTGACTCCCTGGGGGAGGGAGGGGGGGGAAGAGGGTGATCCTTCTATCCGGGACTGGTTATCTGTATATCTGAACGGGGCCTTAATTGATATTGGGAGGAGAGTGTCTAGAAGAACTGTGTAAGTTCTCGAGCTACTGCATATGGTGTCACCTGTAAACCAATAACCGGTACAGCACTAAGCGACTAATGATGATTCATTTTAATTTGCTATGATGGCCTAAAACCAAGATCCCTTTGGGCTAACGACAGTTTTTAAAGAACAATTTACGACGTTAAAAGATATCATAATACTCTTTGTTGACCCTTTGTTGTCGCTTCAAAATTTTGCATAAACATTGGTCAGCATTATTGTCAATTTCTCTTGGGGCGATTGTAAGTCCCAAGAGAAATTAAAAACAGTCATATCAAAAAATTTTGGAGGGTCAACAAAGAGTATTATTATTATTATTATTGTTATTGTTATTATTTATATTAATTTTCCCCTTTTTTAGTGATTTTCTTATTAAGAATACAGTCGACCTTGAAAATAGTTTGTTTTGTTTTATTTGTTTTTAAAATCGAAATGGATTGTTTTAATTGAAAAGAAAAGTTTTCAATTCGAATATTTTTTTAATTAAATGAATTTTTTCTAATCAAAACTAAGTGTTTTTTTAATTAAACGAAAGGAATTGTAAATAGTGTTTTGACGGAATATTTTTTTTCTTAAGTGAATTAATTGTAGATAGGATTTTAATAGTTAGCATGCATTGTTATCAATAAAAATTATTATTATTACTATTATTATTATTATTTTTATCAGTTTGAATTATTTATTTTTAAATAGCTTTTATTTTTTTATTAACTTTTTGATGCTTTTTATAATTGTTATTAGGTCTTTAGATAGTCATTTTACGACAATTCTCTTTCGTGCACAAGAAGAATGTACATAGGGTATATATTTTAATATTTCATATTCTTGAATCTGTAAATAGTCTATTTTTTTTAAATCTATGAATAAAGTTTTGTTTATTATTTTTTTAAAAAAAATATTATTATTATTATTATTATAATTATTATTATTATTATTATTATTATTATTATTATTATTATTATCATGTTCACTCTTACTCTATGCAGATGCTAATGGTTTTCTGAATCCCTCCATTATAACTGGTGAAAATTATCGTTCAGGGCTGAGTTGCTCAAAGGATGGTTAGCTTTAACCATTGGTTAAGCAGTATCAAAACCAATACGTTGTCAAGGTATTAAACGCTGGTTAACGCTAACCATGCTTCGAGCAACTGGGCCCAGATCTTCTTTTCTTAATCCAATCCAAGTGCCTGTATGTTCTAGAATTAACAGTTGGTTTCGACTCTAACCTTAATAACAATGCAGTGCGAAAAAAAGAAAAATAACTGAACTTGATCAAGAAATGAGTAGAAATTTCCGATGTGTGAAATTTGTAAACCTATCCATGAGCTCCCTTGGTTGGCGTTTTCTCCCACGAATGCTCAACCTCGTCCATAAGGCTTTCCGCTTAAAAAAATGACAAAAGCCCTGGGGGACGAGGTTGACGAATGCTCTACGTTTTTAGACATGATGAATCATGACATTGGCATTGTCAAAAAGCAGCAACATTATATAATAAAAAAAATTACAAATATATCCATTAGATCAACATTTTTCATCTTATTTTTGTAGAAATAGGAATGGGTAGCCCAGACTTAATGCGATGTTGATTTTTTTAAATTTCATTTTTAAAATTTTTTAATTTTTTTTTTGAATAATTCAATCTCAAGCAGCCAATTGTAAATTGCCTATACGTAGCGAGATTTACAATTATACATTTAAAAACAGAAATAAAGTTTCCATTAGTATTAAGGAGGGGTAAAAGTAAGACCCCAGTGATACGTGATAAAAAAGATGGTCCTCAGGCTATGTTCAGACTTAAGCTGTTGCACCGGCAAGAAAACCATACCGGATAGTGTTTCCGTCCACGGATAAGAACGGTAATTTCAGCGCAATTTCTGTGACGAAGAGAACCTGCTCCTGCCGATCTCTAAAGTCTCTAAAGTGGAGAGTCACATACCAGATAAGTGTTCATACTATAGCGGATAGCTTTTTGTGTTGGCACAAAAATCTATCCTGTATAGTTTGAACGTAGCCTTATTTACCTGAGTCTCTCCTGAGGTTTCGTGATAACCGGTCTATTTTGAAGGGCATTAACTTGGAAAGGTATAATTAAAGCTGCATGTTATGCCATTTCGTAATCATTCAATAAACGGGTGTCGGTAAAGTCTAGGAACAGGCTCGGAACACCCCGGAACACTCCCAGGCCCCCCCTACCCCCGCAACGCCCTTAATTACAAAAATTAGGCAAAAGAAATTACCCCCCCAAAAAAAAAAACCCTAAAAAATCATCACTGAATCAATAAATACGTTTTATCTGTAAATGGCAAACGGAGACTTTTTTTTCACGACTGGATTGACTATAACGTGGTCTCATTTTCAATAGATTTACTAGAATGGGGTCGCACATTTTCTGATTTTTGGGGTAAGACAGTTCTTCATATTTACGGTCAGCAAACCGACCAGAATGTTTGTACTGTAGGTCAGGAAAGTAAAGTGTTCTTCATTCAGTTTAAAAAATGTGTCAATTCATAAAAATAGAAAGTGAATAAGTTGGGATCGCGAAAATTAAATATTTGCCCAAAAGTGACTAAGATGGGGTCTACAATTGGTCACAGAATAGACGACAATGGGGTAGGGGCTCCGAGAGACCAGAGGCACATACCCAGCAAAAATTTAGCCAAGTACCCCCACCCACCAGCTTGGAGCTACATTTCACGTTCAAGGACGTACTATCGGTTAGAGCAATTTAATATTTGTACTCGGAGTGATATGCATAGTGATCTGAAACTTGCTGTTAACCAGTGTCAACGAGGCAAGCCAATTGATGACTTCTAATTTACACCTTGTCGTTTGAATCGACATTGATGCTGGCCTCTTACGATAAAGTTTTGAGAATTTTTTCAATTGATTCAGCCCAGTCATAATCAAACCGAAAAGAATTCAATTCAGACCATAAATATAGGATAATGCCTGAGCTCCGAGGCCTTCTTAAAAATAATGACCGAGCGCTGTAAGGCAGACGAGAGAGGGCATTATCAGATTTAATGCACCTTTCCATTGTTCTAGAACCAGCAGGTCATTATAGGAGAGAGTGGCCACTGAAATCAATAATTTCAACTCTTTCGAGGTTTTGCTCAAACCGCTGTGAACCAGATACGATAATATAATGATAAAAATGTTATAGCATGTAAATAACCACTGAACTGATATTAAAATATATGAAGCAATAACAATTTTATTGAGTAGTGTTGCTAGGCTGCATCT